AAAACAGCGAATTGCAAGCATTGTTGGATGAGGATGACGCTCAAACTCAACAACAACTCGCGGAACAATTGAATGTGACACGTTTCCGTACGTTTGAAATCCATGGGAAAGATCCAGAAGATGGGAAAATGGATTCCACATGAACTGAATGAAAGACAGCAGGAAAACCGAAAAACCACTTGCGAAATGCTGCTCGCCAGGTACAAAAGAAAGTCATTTCTCCATCGAATTGTAACTGGCGATGAAAAGTGGATATATTTTGAGAAACGTAAAAGGTAAGCGTAAAAGGTCATGGGTAACTCCAGGCGAACCATCGACATCTACCGCAAGGCCAAATCGCTATGGACGGAAGACAATGCTCTGTGTTTGGTGGGATCAGAAAGGTGTGATCTATTATGAGCTGCTAAAACCTGGCGAAATCGTTAATACTGAACGCTACCGATAACAAATGATCAATTTGAATCAAGCTTTGCCTGAAAAACGACCGGAATATCAAAAAAGGCAACACAAAGTGATTTTGCTTCATGATAATATACCATCACACACAGCAAAACTGGTTAAGGAAACGATTGAGGCGTTTGGTTGGGAAATACTTTCGCATGCGGCTTACTCACCAGACTTGGCTCCGTCCGATAACTACTTATTTGCATCGATGGGACACTTGCTCAGCAGCGCTTCACTTCTTACGAAGATGTACGAAAATGGCTAGATGACTGGTGTGGCTCAAAAGAGCAACAATTTTTTTGGCGTGGCATCCACAATTTGTCAGACAGGTGGGAAAAATGTATAGCTAACGATGGGCAATAAAACATTTTTTATCATTTTCATGCAATAAACGTGTATTTTCTATTAAAAAATTCCGGTTTCATATTTACATATTTGGTAAACATGTCGATAATACAAAAATTGATCAAAAAAATTGTGTGCAAATACGTTTCATAGATTCATATAGATTTCTCGCTTTTAGTTTGGACAAATTGTCATCTTTTCTTAGCAAGGATAAGCTGCGGGTACTGCGACGCAAATTTTCTTTTGACTCGAAAGGGCGTTTTTCCGTACGAGTACATTGACTGCAGTGAAAAATTGAACGAATTACGCTTGCCATCTCATTTTACAGCTCATTTTACAGCTCATTGACGGACAGCACGGTATCTGGGAGTGATTACGCGCACGCCGTCAACGTGTGGAAGCGGTTCTCCATCCAAACGCTCGGCGAATATAGCGACCTGTATCTAAAAACAGATGTATTGTTGTTGGCCGACGTCTTTGAAAATTTCCGCGACAGTTGCATCGCGAGTTACGGACTTGACCTCGCGTACTATTACACCTTATCTGGATTCACATGGGATGCCATGTTAAAGCATACTGGTCTAAGATTTGAACTATTGACAGACATCGACATGATCATGTTTGTCGAGCGCGGTATACGCGGTTGTCTGAGCCAGTGTACAAACAGGTACGAGCGAGCCAACAACAAATACATGCCGTCGTACGATCCATCGAAACCGTCATCGTATTTAATGTACTATGACGTCGACAATCTGTATGGCTGGGCAATGTGCCAACCATTGCCCTACGCCGATTTTCGATGGGTCGTCGTGCACAATTTCGATTTTACGACTATCGCGTTAGATTCGCCGACAGGCTACATTCTCGAGATGGATTTGGAGTACCCACAACATCTTCATGACCCGCACCCTGACCTACCGTTCTGTCCGACGCGCGAGAAACCACCTGGCAAGCGCGATGACAAGCTCCTTGGAACATTATGCGATAAGCAACGTTACGTCATACGTTATCGCAACTTGCAGCAGTGTAATCATCACAGCCTTCGTATCGCAAAGATTCACCGTATACTGCAATTCGCACAATCTCCACGGCTTCGCGATTACATCGCAACATAAAATTTAGAACAATGGCCAAAAATGATTTTGAAAAAAATTTATACAAACTGATGAATAACGCGG